CAGAGACAACACGGGCATCATGTCTATCCCAAGGTTGTACTTTCTTTTGCCCACTGTTTCCAACATTATAATAAAGAATTTAATCCTATTCTTTGCCACAAAACAAGAAAATATTTTTTTCTTCCTTAAATTCTTCAGGTTCTCATAGAATCACAGAGGTTGGAAGGGACGTCAAGGATGATCTAGTCCAACCTTTTTAGCTAATACTATTGTTTATATGGGATGGCTCAGCACCCTGTTAAGCTGAGACTTAAAACTGTCCAAAGTGAGGGAATTTAACACTTTCCTTGGGAGACTATTCCACTGTTTGACTCTCCTCATTGTGAAAAATTTACCTGTGTTCAATCAGAATCTCCACAGGATCAACTTGTGCCCATTATCCCTTGTCTTATTCCATGTGACTTCTTGTAAATAGAGAGTTTCCATCTTCTTGGTAGCCACCCTTTAAGTGCTGAAACATGGTAATAAGGTCTCTGCTAAGCCTTCGACATAGGAGCCCTTCACCATTTCTCCCAGCTCCTGTTTTCCAGGCTGTGCTACCGCAAGTCTAATGCACACATATCGGTCAAAAATCAAAACTCTTAAATATAAGTATGATCAAGCCTGGGTGAAGCATTTTGCGGACACGCATTTTGTAATAGCACTAAGCTCAGAGAGCAAATAGCTCTGGTAACTGAGATGTTTGCCCTCAGTGTGCTCCAATACACTGATTTACCTTTCCTCTTTTTTTTTCCCCTTTTTTTTAAAAAGAGCTGACGCAAGTTTGTCAAAGGGAGTTGTTGGGGTGTAGCAACTGTTGATTGGTTCATCTGATACACTCCCATTTGTCTTTAAATCACTGTCCAACTGCTCTAGGTTGCACATGAGCAAACTTTTCATTACAGGTGCAATTCCTAAAAGATTTAACCTGCTTAGAAAGGGAGCAAGAAAACCTGCTCAACTCACAGGTAAACCAAAAGCTTTTTTCTTTACACTGTTTGATCGATATATTTTAGACACTGGCCACATCCTTAAATATTGATTATTAGAAATCTGATTATTCTGTAAATACAAATGCAATTTGAAGGATGGGCTCCTTAAGATGTACTGACATGGTAATTTATGCTGGCAAGTATCTTTGGTATTTCTTCAGGAACTAAATTTAGTCTTTTTCTCTCTTTTTTTGTACAACAAATCAAAACTTAAGCAACAAGAGAAGAACCAAAAGGTGTTTAAAACTGAAGAGGGAATAAAGAAATGAATGCTTGCTTTCTTTTGCAGTCCTTGGCTAACTTCTGGGATTTATTTCTTTTTTTCCCAAGGCTCTAGATTTGCTTGGCTAAAATTCCTGTAAATAAATGAATTTGTGAAAGCAAGTTTTTAATTTTAATTGCTTATTTCACAAATAGTGAAATATTTGTGATAGTGCTTATTTCATTTTGAAATAGCTGCACTGACAATAATATTATAAACTTGCTGTCATGAAGATGAAGAATACAGCAGATACAGTGGCAGAGCTTACAAATCTGGATACTCCAAAATCCATGAAAACGTTAGTCACATTTGTGACCTGGCTTTATTTGCTCAATAGTTGTCCATTCTCTTAATATCTAAACTGCAGATTGGACAGAAATCAATAACGTTGTGAAATCAGAAGCCAAAAATTTAATAATTTTCTGAGTTATTTCTGAAAACTGTTGTTTTAAAAGCTGCAGAAAGAGTACCCTATCATTGAAAAGAAAACTAGTTTTATAGGAATAAGTAATTTCCCTCTAATAATAGGTCGATCTCTTATGCAAACAACATTTCCATTTTAATGTCATACTTCAGGAAAAATCTTTTTTGTTAAGCCAAATGCCACAGGAGGTAGAAAAACCAACACCGTATTGAAGCCAAGTTTAAGGAGACTGTAGAGCTAAAAGATTTTTATTGTATGTAAAAGGAGAAAACTGATTTATTTTAACTAAAGGGGAAGAAAAGAAATGGACATCTTTTTGTTTACTTTCAAACTTTAAAAATTCCTCTTTAGGAGGACCAGGCAGGTCATGATGTGTTTGAATGCTTGAGACAGGGTTTAGGCACCAAATTCAGAGCTTTGAAGCAGGAAGCCTGTAAGTCCAAGCTAAAGCAGGTGAACTTTGGTGTTTCTTCTCTGATAAAATGTGCTGAGCTTCTGGCAGGGCCAGCCCGACCATGGTGGCTGTGTCCTGTCACGCCATCAGTGCCCTAGGGCCTGGCCTTCACCCAGAAGCAGAGGTCCAGCTGGCACCCTGCAGGGGTGCAACTGAGCACCCATCTATCAGCCCTGACAGTGGGTTTGGGCATGATATAGTGTGGAGCTGTAGTCAGCATTTTATTTTAAAAAGAGCCAGCTAGTGCATTCTCTTTTTTCTAAATAACATCTCTCAGATCAAGCCGTGACCCAAGAGGCACAGGGGTATCCCCTTTCCTCCTCGGGTGAAGGGGTGGCAACTCTGCCCCTTCTACATTAGTCATGGGGAGCGCGCACTATCCATACCTCAGCATCCTCCCAAGTCCTCCAGTACCTGCAGCATTAGGAACATGAAGAAATGGATTTCCATAAACTAAGGGCCAGCTCTGCAAATTTCTGCTGAAGTTCAAAGGCACCATTGGTTGCAATTACAGTTATTAGATTGCAGGATTCAAATCTAATACAGACCCTGTTTCATGGTTCTCATCCTGCCCACATTTATGCCATCAGCTTTCAACACATGGTTTGCAGACCCCTTGAGCTCTACTTTTTTCCTTCCTAGAAAGTGACAACTGCAAGAAATCAGGTTCTCAGCACATTTAATTCTGTCACCTGAGGCTTTGCACCTTGAACAGAGGACATGTAGGAATTCACATATCAAAAATTAAAATCATCTCACTGCTTTTATGCAGTAAATCCACAGCCTCTTGAGCTGTCACCCTTAAATCAGATTACTTGTGTAAATGTTTGACAGGACAATGTCCAGATTATTCTCTATGCTATAGTATGTATTTCTAGTCAATTTTTGCTCCCCTTTCCAAAGTGTGTTTCCTATGGTACACAGACTTTCCTCCTCAGCCTAATCTCTGTGTAACTTAACTCCTGGCAAGTTTTTTGCTTACTTTTCCTCTCTTTTCCAATTCTTTGAAGATCTGTGTTTTTTGGACTGCCTTTTCTGGAAAAGATGTTTCTCTGACAAGCATTAGGCAGTGCACACAGAGGAGATTTTATCCTTTACCAGAACAAGGCTAAGTGCAGTCAGATTTGTCTGCCTGACTTTTACACCACAGATTAAAAATAAGTATTAAGAATTGGAAGGACTCTGTTCCTCAGACAGGGCAGTGTCTGCATTCGAGGATGGTTCTGTGAATGAAACCACAGTTGGGAGGGCTCCGTTGGAGTTTTTTTAACTATTTTTTTTTCTCCTGGAGTTATTCATATCCCAAGCAGGCAGCCACTGGAATGTGAGTGCTGGCAGCTCTGCCCTGATGCCCAAGTTACTTGTCCCCTCACACACACACTCCCTGTATGGCAGCAGAATGGAGTAAAGACAGCCAAGTTCTCTGGTAGGAAATCTCTTAACGCACAGTGATATTGCTTTTGCTTTTCAGTTGTCTGGTCTGGGTGAATATTTTTAGCAAGAAGCAAGGACGCTGACTTTAATTTCTGGCCTGGGGTCAATTTTAGCCTCCAGGATTGGTATTTAAAGCTTACATTTACATTTTAAGCACATGCACTCTAACATTTTGCCATTACAAATACGTTTGTAGATGTTCTTAAGAACAGCATGTGATCAGTAGCAGAGGATAGTTAGGGTCTGGGTCACCAAGTGAGGACCTATGCATCCATAAATGCAAAACCAGTAAAAAGGCTATTAAATAATTGCAGGTTTATTGTTACTAAGGACCAAACATAGAAATTGTTTGTTGTGGGTCTTTTTTCTGATGTCGTTATCATGCAGTGCTGGGCTGCAATTAGCAAATGATATTTACGAAAATGTAATGGATCCAGCCTGTGTGTGGACCTGGGTGTGCCAGCAATGATGTTCTACCTGGTCTGTGCTCCCTCCTTTCACTGGTGTGCCCTTCTGATTCTGGGATGGAGCAAATGAATAAATGAATGTAAATATGTATCTGCAGATGAGACTGTAACATGAAATTGCTGAAATCTCAGAGGTGAAATCCTCTTTGTAGCTTTTGTTTGTACAGTTTCCTTTGGGCCATAGAAGTAGAGAGCTGAGTATTTATCTATATTATCTTTCTAACAAGCATAAAGATAGCCAGTGTTTTATCCATGTAATAATTCATTGTGAGACAGAACTTCTAGCTGCGTGACAAGTAAGAATTAAACATAAATATATTTAAAAACAGAAACTGCTCTACCAGAATTGCACCTCCTAATTATCAAACAAGTGATCATTGAGAGAGATGTGCACCTCTGTCAGATCCAGAAAAAGGGACAAATCTTATAAACACTTAAATCTGTGACAACATTAACCTTAAAACCAACGATTCAAAATACTGAGCTTTTCCCTTAGGAGTATGTGTGCTTCAAAGCAGTGTTAGGAAAGTCTGGATGTACTCCATTTTTAACAGCAAGCACTTCTGCATCACCGAGACCTAGAAATTCAAAAGTAGCAGGTCAAGAAATATTATTTCTTGCTAGCTTTATAGTTCTGGCAGATGCGGGACATCTACTGTGCATCCCTTGGCCCCTGCACTCTTTACCATTTGAAGGGAGACAAAAGGGCGAAGTGCCGGCATATAAAGGGACGTTCTGCTTGCCCAGAGTTTTCCCAGTCTGCAGCTGCTTCCCTTCTTAATGCTATTACAAAGAACAAACACAAACCAAACTATTTGCACTGGTTTATCTAATTTGAGGAAAACTCTCATGAGTTCTTTTGCATTTTGTTTGCAGAACAGAGTGTTCTGGCAGGCCCCGCATGGTAGAGAGGACCCGCAAGCAGGCGGCACGGCGCTGTTTACCCTGAAGAAGAGAGTGTGTGTGCTGGAAAGCACCAACCTCCCTAATGGATCGCATGGAGCTGCAAAAAGTCAACATTGAACTTGACGAGCAGAGCAACAGTGGGGAAAGCCTCGAAGATAACTATGCCGAGCTGGTTGATTCAGAAAAGGCTGCAATTAGGAGGTGAGCATTTAAATGGGAAGGCTGGTCGGTTAAGGCTGGACAGCAGTAGCCAAAAAACAAGCTTTACTGACAGCATCAAAACACTTCCTATGTAATGTGTCCAAATCAACGCGATTAGCTGGAGTTTTCCCACAGCACCAGCACTCCCTGCTCTGTGGAGGATGGGTGTGCCCAGCACAGCCAGGGCAGCCCAAGTCCTACTTGCTGACCACCACTGGGAGTGACCTCTGCAGCCTCCCAGCCCTGAGCACACAGTTGGCAATTTGTAACCACTCCAGTCACATGTGTAAATTAATATGCTCTCAGGGCATTCCAGCCTGAGCGTGCTGCCTCCGTGCCTCAGCCCTGGAGAGGAGGAATGCTTTCCAGGGCAGCAACTCAGTGCTCCTGCGAGGACAGCCCACGCTTGGGCATCTCCAGCAGGACCCACCATAGCACCAGCACTTAGGTGGCCTGAGAAAGACACCTCAAAAGCAGCCATCAACCTCCAGCTCTCAACTTGCTGAACCCCCTGGCACATATCTCCAACAGGGCAGCAGCAAGGAGCTTTATTCCTCTGATGTGAAGTACATGCTCAGCTTTAGCACATTGCTGGCAGCAATGAATTGTTGCTTTCCAGCATCTCAAATCAGAAAAAAATTTGAAGATTGCTGGATTTTAAACAAAATGCCAAGACAAAGCAAAAATCTATTAAACAAGCCATTGGACGTGAGAATCTTCCAGGAGAAAAGAAAGAGTTTTCTGAAGGATTTTGAAATATTCATTGCAATGTCAAAGGAAAGTTTCCACTAATGACAAACAGCACTGCTTGAATGTAATATGTGTCACAAGCCTTATCTAATATTTTCTTGTTTTTCTTCATGTTCAGTTCATTTGCTAGTGATGATGCAGAAAGTCAGAAGTTCCTTACAAATGGATATCTGGGTAAAAAGAAATTGGAAGAATATAAAGAAGAATATGTAAGTTTTGTTAATTTTTAAGGTTAATACAAAGTAAATCTTACTGACCTGAACCTTTTTCCCAAAGTTTTGGTAAACAAAGTTACTCTGGAGCTTGATCAGCCTAATCTCAGCTTTGGAAGAGTAAACACATTTTCTAATACTTACTTTTCTAATTCTATTTCTAATAGTGCAGCAAACAATTTCTATTGACTTGCAAGTAAAACTGGGTCTTTCCTTCACAAGTAATCAGAAAAATTCCTCAGATCATACTTGGGCTTCATTAGTGTCCATGTTATCTCACATGAGATGTTCAGCCAAGGCTGGGTATGCACTCACATTTCTGACAGAAGATTTGGTTCACAGAAACTTTTTTACTCCCATATCAAGGTAGACCTGGGCCTTCATGCATGCGTGCTTGTATTGTTTGTTTCCAACATCAGTGTAAATGAATCCACATCCCTTTTAAGAAGGGACATTCATGTTTGGCTTTCCAGTGCTGAGCATTACACACTCAGCATGACTTTTAGACAACTCCATCTGCAAGTGGAAGCACAGCACCGGTTCCTGGGGTGTGCACATGTGTATCTCTCTGCTCAAAATTCAATTTTATTCTAAGTTTTCATGAACTTGGTACCAAGAAAGGCTTTGTTTTGTTGGTCCTGTTACAGGTTTTATTAGGACTGACCAAATAAAACAAACAAAAAAAATATATAGTTTGTGATTGCAAGCTAAAATTAAGAGCCGTATTCCCCTGCCTTTATTTTCCACTTGGTAACAGATATGAGTCACTCACACACCATCCTCCCTATTCTAGTTTTTCATCCTCTCCCACTCCACTGCCTCCATCCTGAGCCACAATGTACTTTCTTCTTCTCCCCTCCAGACACACTTTTATATCCCCAAAGAAAGAAGCAAGTTATACTTGGAGAAAAAAATCACAAATCAGTTGGATTTGTTTTTAAAATCATCTGAAATTATTAAATTGATAATGGGGAAAGATATCAGATAACAGCACATATTCCTACTGAGGCTGGCCTGCCAGCCAGATGTGGCTATGTATGCTCAAGTCGCCTGTCAGGGATGTAGTCCTCCTCCCCTCCAGGACAAATGGAGAGTGGGGTCACTGTAGCAACCAAAAAATGGTGGAGTTTACTATTTTGTGTGAAAGAAGTGGAGAAATGAGTAAGACTACAGCACTGGATTTCAGGAAAGTAAAGTTTAGCCTCTTCAAAGGTCTCTGTGGAATAAGGGCCCTTAGACAACTCCATCTGCAAGTGGAAGCACAGCACCGGTTCCTGGGGTGTGCACATGTGTATCTCTCTGCTCAAAATTCAATTTTATTCTAAGTTTTCATGAACTTGGTACCAAGAAAGGCTTTGTTTTGTTGGTCCTGTTACAGGTTTTATTAGGACTGACCAAATAAAACAAACAAAAAAAATATATAGTTTGTGATTGCAAGCTAAAATTAAGAGCCGTATTCCCCTGCCTTTATTTTCCACTTGGTAACAGATATGAGTCACTCACACACCATCCTCCCTATTCTAGTTTTTCATCCTCTCCCACTCCACTGCCTCCATCCTGAGCCACAATGTACTTTCTTCTTCTCCCCTCCAGACACACTTTTATATCCCCAAAGAAAGAAGCAAGTTATACTTGGAGAAAAAAATCACAAATCAGTTGGATTTGTTTTTAAAATCATCTGAAATTATTAAATTGATAATGGGGAAAGATATCAGATAACAGCACATATTCCTACTGAGGCTGGCCTGCCAGCCAGCTGTGGCTATGTATCCTCAAGTCGCCTGTCAGGGATGTAGTCCTCCTCCCCTCCAGGACAAATGGAGAGTGGGGTCACTGTAGCAACCAAAAAATGGTGGAGTTTACTATTTTGTGTGAAAGAAGTGGAGAAATGAGTAAGACTACAGCACTGGATTTCAGGAAAGTAAAGTTTAGCCTCTTCAAAGGTCTCTGTGGAATAAGGGCCCTGGAAGGTATGGATGTCCATGAGAGCTGGGCAGCTTTCAAATACTACTTGCTTCAACCTCAAGACCAGTTCATCCTTATGAGGAAGAAATCAAGCAGAGAAAGTAGACTTGTGTGGATGAGTAAGGATCTTCTGGAAAAAATTGAATGGAAGAAGGAAATTTACAGAATGTGGAAAACAGGACTGGCCACTTCAGAAGAATATGAGAACACAGAAGATACAGGAATGAGACAAGGAACACTAAGGCCCACCTGGAATTAAGTCTGGCAAGGGATATCAAGGACAACAAGAAGGGTTTCTTCAGTACATTAAAAAAAAAAAACACCTGGAGGACTAAGGGAAATGTAGGTCTGCTGATGAATGAGGCAGGGACCCCAGTGGCAGAACACACAGTGAAAGAGGAGTTACTGAATGCCTTCTTTGCTTCAGTCTTTACTTCTAAAGCTGACCCTCTTGAATCCCGGACCCTGGAGGTAAGAGATAAGGTCTAGAGAGAAGAAGACTTTCCCTGGGCAGAGGAGGACCAAGTTAGAGGCCACTTAGCCAAACTGGACATCCATAAATCCATGGGCCCCGATGAGATGCATCCACAAGTTCTGAGAGGACTGTCAGGTGTTATTGCTAGGCCACTCTCCATCATCTTTGAGAGGTCATGGAGAACAGGAGAGATGCCTGAGGACTGGAGGAGACCTAATGTCACTCCAGTCTTCAAAAAGGGCAAGAAGGTAGACCCAGGGAACTGCAGGCCAGTTAGTCTCACCTCCATCCCAGGTAAGATGTTGGAAAAAATCCTTCTGTACGTTCATCATAAAACAAGTGAAAGCAAAGAACGTCACTGGGAAAAGTCGGTAGGGATTTGCCAACGGGAAATCATGTTTGGCCAATTTGATTGCCTTCTATGATGTTGTAACTGTCTGGATAGATGAAGGGAGAGCATTGGATGTTACCTACCTTGACTTCAGCAAGGCTTTTAACACTGTTCCCTGTAACATGCCCATTAGGAAACTCAGGAAGTGTGGGCTAAATGAGTGGACAGTGAGGTGGATTGAGAGCTGATTGTGTGACACAACTCAGAGGGTTGTGATTAATGGAGCAGGGTTGAGTTGGAGGCCTGAAGCCAGTGGTGTCCCCCAGAGGTCAATACTTGGTCCTGTCTTGTTTAATATCATCAACAACCTGGACAAGGGGACAGAGTGTATCCTCAGGAAGTTTGCTGATGATACCAAACTGGAAGGGGTGGCTGACACTGCAGTGGGCTGTGCTGCTGTCCAGTGTGACCTGGACAGTCTGGACAGATGGGCAGAGAAGAATCTAATGAGGTTCAACAAGGAAAGTGTAGGATCCTGCAACTGGGGAGGAAGAACCCCAAGCACCAATATAAATTAGGGGTGGACCTGCTGTGAAGCAGTTCTGAGGAGAAAGATCTGGGAGTCCTAGTAGATAGTAAATTATCCATAAGTCAGCAATGTGCTCTTGTTGCTAAGAAGGCCAATGGAATCCAGGGGTGCATACGAAAGAATGTGGCCAGTAGGTCAAGAGAGGTCATTCTCCCCCTTTACTCTGCCCTGGTGAGGCCACATATGGAAAACTGTGTCCAGTTCTGGCAAGAGAGACAGGGAGCCACTGGAGAAGTCCAGAGGAGGGCAACAAAGATGACGTGGGGACTGGAGCATCTGTCTTATGAAGAAAGGCTGGGACTTTTTAGCCTGGAGAAGAGAAGGCTGAGGGGAGACTTTATTCATGCCTATAAGTATCTAACGGGTGGGTGCAAACAGAATTGAAACAGACTCTTTTCAGTAGTTTCCAGTGACAGGGTAACAAGGAGCAATGGGCACAAGCTGGAATATAAGAAGTTCCATTTAAATATGAGGAAAAACTTCTTTACTATGAAGCTGACAGAGCACGGGAACAGGCTGCCCGGGGAGATTGTAGATTCCCCTTCTCTGGAGACATTCAAGACCAGCCTGGATACAGTCTTGTGTAAAGTGATCTAGGCCATCTTGCTCTAGTGGGACAGTTGGACTAGAGGATCTCTAGAGGTCACTTCCAACTCTGGCAATTCTGTGATTCTGTGAAGAGGTGAACACCTACCTGCACAGCTGGATTTGGGGGTAAAAAAGGTTTCTTATGTGGCTAGTGCCTGTGGGCTCCAGAACCTAGCAAGGCTCCACCTCTGAGGATCAAGGGAGCAATTCAGGGAAAACCAGCAATGAGGATAATTTGTCTGTTATACTATTATGCTCAATAAAATGCAAATAAATTTCCATTTTCTATTCTTGCTCCCAACAGCACCGGGGCAGAGCTTCCTTTGGGATGTCCTCATTCAATCTCAGCAATGCTATTATGGGCAGTGGCATCTTAGGGCTCTCCTATGCCATGGCAAACACAGGAATCATCCTTTTTGTGTAAGTACATAGAAAAAAAAAAATAGAATACAAGCAGTGAGCTGGAGATAAAGTTTTTGTGGTTAGAGAGGTATGCTAAGCTTGTTTTGATAGCTGAAAAGTTTTGTAAGATCATCTGTAATGAAAACATTTTAGCTGTACCACAAGGAACCATTCACTGCTGACAAGCCATTTTTTTTAATCTAGCCCAGTTTTGTGTCAGAAATATGGCTGCAAATTGATACTGTGCAGTCAAAATCCAGAGGGGAAGAACAGTATACTGGTCCTAAAAAAACAACAACCAGCAATCTTGCTGGTTCAGTATTAGAATTCAACAAGGGAAATAAATAACCCAAAAAGTATATATTTACATCTCCCAGTTATCTATTCACTATGTAGAAATGGAAGAATATGTAAGAATGTTCTATATAAGCCTGAAATAGCAGCATGCTTTGAATGCAAAGGCATTCACAGATATATTCAGATTCAGGGTTGCTCCTCCAAGTCTATTTGTACTCAACGTGCACAGATGACAGCGATGGCATGTGGCTGATATACGGTATCTATACAAAATGAGTTTTGATACGCGGTAACAGGTAGCCATATGAAGATTTTTACTCTATATCTAACCTTGCAAAATGAGACAGACTGTACAAAAATAAGTTGGTTTTCTTTTTTAATAACTGATTTTAATTTTAACTAAAGCCTTAATTTTGATTCCCCATGAGGCTGGGATAAAGCTTGACAGTCCTGTGTGTCAATGGGCCATTGTTCGACATCACTGAAATCAAACTAGCTTTTAAATCAGGTTGCATGGCTATCTTTCTACAGCTTCTTTCTTCTGGAGATTGTGTAACTACAACAGCAACAGCCTTTGAAATGCTTCCTGTAGCTTGCAGTTGCTAAGAAACACCTGCTGGATTTTTTCAGTAGAATTTTCAACCAAAAATTAATTGTAGGTGCAAATGTGGTCCTGGAGAAGTACTTTCCAGCACCTCCACTCAAATGGTTCTAAAACTGACTGCATTAGAGTTTGAAAAATGTAGGGTTGGTTTTTTTTCAGCTTTCTCTGAGCACTTGTACTAACTGGTATGGCCATAAATTATCACTGGAAAGAAAACAGTGATACATCAGACATCACTGGGGGGGAGAGGTAGGAACACAACCAAAACAACAACACAACAAATCATTACCTTTGTAATATCTTTACTTTTAAGGTTCTGCTCATTCACACAGGTAGCCTAAAAAACCTTAAGCAAGCCTAATGACATTAGCTGGAAATACTGGAAGTACTAAAACATGGAGTCAGACTAAAGTAACCCTAAGAATAACAGCAAAACCAAAAGATGTCTCCACCTACAGCTTATTTATTTTCTGTCCTACTTCCATACTTTCTGCATGAGAACGTTGTCCCTTCTGGCAGAGGAAGAAGTTTTATTTTAAAGTACAATACTCTGAGGGGATATTGTTACCCTTATGGCATGTGTCCACTTGCTAGAGGTTCCTCTGTTTTCACAGATGATGTTAGTGTTAGCAGGACAGAAAGACCCCATCTACTAAATGGAACCTGTTGGACATTAATGCTAATTTAGACGATGCTGGCAGCATTGCCTGAATTTTTCTTATTTACAGTTCTCATGTTGCTCAATGCTCTCATGCTGGAAGATGTTCTACAGGATGAAGACAAAAAGAGGTCTCCTAAAACTCAGAAGCTCTCCAGAAGTTCCCCTTACATCCTCCTCTCCCATGGAGGAGGTCTGCAATTGTATGGAGCATGCACTGCACCATTACTTTTGCTGCCTGGCATGATTTAGCAAGTGCAACTAGGATGGCTTTGGCTTACCACAACCTCATGTGTCAGAACATGAAGGTCATGTCTCTGAATGGGTGCCCCTGATCAAGAAGCATCTTGGCAGGATACACTGCGATGTCAGACAGGATCCCCCCCTTATCATGTTGAATGAGCCTACAGCACGAGAGATAACCCTGCTCACATAAAGTCTGTACTGTTGTCAGCTTCACTTTTAGAAAAAAATCCACATCTTCACAATGACATGGCAGAAGTCAAAAGCAGTGAATAGCCAGGAGTCAGCAGTGAAGTTGTCAAAATCATGCTTTTGGGGGGTTTTTTGGTAGCTGTGAGTAAGGAGAGAGATTGAAACAAGAGGCAAGTGAGCGGGTAAGAGACCAAAGACTTGACTCTTGCATAGAAATCTGTTTACTTTAGCACAGTCTTGTTAAAATGCAAGATTCTGTCTTTGTGGAACAACACAGAATTGGCACTTACCTGGGCTTAAACTAGCCTTGAGGGTCTTTTGGAGTTATACAGTGCAATTGCTCTCACAAGTAAGCTACAGTTGACACTTATCTCTGCATTTAGCACTGTGAGTCCAAAGAAAAACTTGCTGCAAACTATTTACGCCCTGAACTGTGTGAGAATGAGCAAGAGTTTGTTCAAATCAACTGAGTGTCTGCATTGTCCTGCTTGGGATTCTGATTCTTTGCCTTGCAGAGTTCTGCTGGTCTGTGTAGCAGTACTGTCACTCTACTCGGTCCACCTCTTACTGAAGATATCAAAAGAAGGAGGTATGACGATTAATGCTGTGACTGACTAAGAGTCCCTACTCCATGCATGCAGTTTACCTTGGCATGCAATTCATCAAGTGTGTCCAATGCAATGGCCCATGTCTCTTTTGGGGTTTTTTTTGTATCTTTTTTCAGGATCACTAATATATGAAAAACTGGGAGAAAAGGCATTTGGCTGGCCTGGGAAGTGTGGTGTTTTCATTTCAGTTACTATGCAGAACATCGGAGGTAAGGGGCAAAGGTTTTTAGAAACACTTTTTCTAAATTCTGATGCTTTTCTACAGAACATAAGTGCTTCCACTCCTCTGTCAGGCTATATGACAGCACCAGTCCAGAGGCTTTCAATCTTTTGTTGAGGTCCAGAGACCTACCAGTGGCCTATGTAAAATAACTGAAAAAAGCATGCATCTGGCAGTACATTTAAATGAGATGTAGAGAAGTCCACCCTTCTATCAGGAATCTTCATATTTTGTAATCTTTTTGTTTACAGTGGAGTAAAATATTGCAAGAAAGAAGATGAAAATAGAAGGGATAAGGTAGATGAAATTATTTTAGAGGCAGTAACAACCCAAGTTACTACAGAATGGATGGATAGTGTTTGTTGGAAAATCAACACTTACAACAGAACAGCAAAAGGAAAAGTTAGGAGTATAAATTTCACTTGAACAGTAATTTGAGTATGTTATCACTTCAATAACAAGTGTTCTGTATTCTAATACTGAATGCTAGATGTCTTTCAGGGCATGCTCATAAGAAGATGAAGGGAATATTCCATCTATTTAATCACATCATTATTTGAACAAAGCTCATTTCTCTATCTTAGCAAAAACAGATTTCCCAAAACAAAATGTTTTGCATGCAGCATGAATGTTTTTTTGAAATAAATTATTTCTGTTGGGACTACATTGTTTCCTCTGAAGTTGTCGTTTGTTTTTTTTAGCAATGTCAAGCTACCTCTTTATTATTAAATATGAACTTCCTGAAGTGATCAGAGCATTTATGAAGCTTGAGGAGAGTTCTGGGTAGGTGCCTATGCCCAACCTGAACCTCAGATTAACTTTTTTCACTTTGATTTCAAAGATAATGATTGTTAATTTTTATTCCTCCTCTTCAGAGAATGGTACCTAAATGGGAACTACCTCGTCATACTTGTAACGGTTGGGATTATTCTTCCCCTCTCCCTTCTAAAGAGTTTAGGTAAGCTCAATGCCCCAGTTAACCTTTTCTCTTATTTCTATTAGGACTATGAATTTATATGTAGCTGAACGGGTTTTTGTGTTGTTTTTTTCTTGCTGCACAGGTTATCTTGGTTATACCAGTGGGTTTTCGCTGACCTGTATGGTTTTCTTCGTCAGTGTGGTAGGTGACTGTTTGGGTATTGTCCCTAAGCAAATACAGAGCCTGCAAAATGTACAATGCTGTTATATTTCTTACCATGGCAATTCAATGTAGAAGTTAGAGTAGAATCTGCAAGAGAATCAAATCAACAAGCCTGTTGCTGAATGAAGCCAAAATAAAAAAGATTGGCCTAAAAGAACAACCCTTGAGAAAAAAAAAAAAAATAAAGCAGGACAACAGAACAGGCAAAGTGCAAATAAATACTTAGAGAAGAAGCAAGTTTTTTGCTCTCTCTCTTTCCCGTCTCTCTTCTGTGTGCCTGTTTCAGTATTTCTGCTGGCATACCCTGGATGTGAGTGTAATCTCAAATGGTGGTACTCTTCTGATTATATAATCTACTCTTTTGTAGGTAATCTTCAAGAAATCCCAAATACCCTGTCCTCTGCCCATCATGGACCATGGAGCTGAAAACTGGACCACTACCAACAACACTGTGCCAATGCACCTGGTCATGCTACCAAACGAGTCCCTTGGTTCTGGTGTGAATTTCATGATGGACAACACAGCTGGGCACTTGCCAGCCCTTGAGGAGCCAAAAGATACCTATCCCAAAAGTGGTGTAGAATATGAAGCACGCAGCGACAGTAGTGACAGGTGTCAGCCAAAATACTTTGTGTTCAACTCACGGGTAAGGGAGATTCTGTAGAGTATGTCTTTAGCCATTTGTACCACAGCTAAACTGCTGCCTGCCAAAAGTCAGAGCTACTGCAGTGACCATTCTTACTAATGGGAGCTTTATTTTACAGACTGCCTACGCAATACCCATCCTGGCATTTGCATTCGTATGCCACCCTGAGGTCCTACCAATATACAGTGAACTGAAAGAGTAAGGTTCTTAAATTTTGTCCCATACTTCCACTTAACCGTAGCTAGAGATCACTTTCTCTGTGCTCTGCCTTGATTTCTGGTGTGCAGACACACACCTGCTAATAATGATTTATCTTTTTCCATAGTGACCAGATACTAGCTTTGCTTTGATCTAATAGTCAGTTATTGGTGACAGAGAACCACTGTTAAGATAGGCATATTGATCAATATTTGCTTAGGAAAGAAGGAATCTGGACAGTCCTTCAGAGTATGTGAAATACTCTGGGGAACTTGGTTGCACTAAAATAGATAATTCTAGTTTCTAATAGTATCTTACTGAGTTCTGTGTCTGGATCAGCCACTGTTCACTCAAAATTTCTTGGGATGCCATCAGTTTGGGTGTCTTACACAGGCTCTTCACCCAGTCTGTTTTTCCTATCAAATATAAAAAATCAAATACACTTTCTTAACTCAGCAAGGAGTTGACAGTTGGGAAGGAGTAAGAAAATGTATTTTTTCAGCAGCAAGAATTAAATTACAGGAGATTATGCTGCAAATCTTAAGGAGATCAAAGTCCATTACCTCCTATTTCAGCAGGTTTAACCTCAGAAGAAATAAAAATTCTCAGATGACTTGGGAACATGCTTGCAGGTCCTACAAGCTGAAGATTTTTTTATACAAAATTTTTAACTAAAGGATTTCTAAAGAAAGGGTTTGACAGGCAGGAGGTTATTGAATCTGCAGAACAGTCCTATGTAGATATAAGGGTATGTTCGCATAGAGCTGATTGAAAGCTCTTGTCTATTATTATTACCAGCCCTGTAATTACAGCCACTCCATTTTTAATTTAAAATACACTATTTGAGATTGATAGTTTATAAATAATGATATATGAAGTAACATGGAACATTTATATGTTGTCACTAAGTAAGCAGTAGAAATGGAATTTCAACATACTTGTATAGTCTGGGCTGTTCTGCAGAGCTGTGAAGCTTCAAACAAAGAGCTCTGTATGACCAATATAGTTGCTGTGAACTTAGTAAGTAACTTATTTCTTGCACAAATAGAGGCTTTGAAAGAATAGCACTGTTAGTCTCTTTCTCTCCCACTTCAGTCGCTCCCGAAAGCGGATGCAGAATGTCTCAAATGTCTCCATCACTGGCATGCTTATCATGTATCTTCTGGCTGCCCTCTTTGGATACCTGACCTTCTACGGTAGGTCAAAGCCCTTTCTCTGTAGAATTTTACCTCATTTTAAAGCAGGCAAGACTGTTCTATCACAGTGAGATTCAAGTGTTCATGTATTTTGTGTGGGCCTGAATCCAGGTGCAAGCAGTATTCAAACAATATGCAGCACGTAACCTCCTGAATAAGCAGTGAGGCTTATCCAGCCACAAGTTCCTCATCTGTGAGAGTCTCAGGGGCACATGCTAGTGGGACCAGGCATGTATCTCTTGGTTATGTGGAATCAGACAACAAGCTGCTGTAAACTTAGCTCTTGGCAAAGGCCAAGAGTGCCTGTACTAAAAATACTCTAGTGCTTAACAGTTTTACATGACACAATTAAGTGCTACCCACCCTGCCTTTGACGCCACTAATTCAGCTTCACCTATGCTGAAAAACAGGTGCAAGTCATTCTAGTGTAAAAAAATATGGATGAGCTAGGCTAACCAGTAGGTAAACAGTGTAGCCCCTGTATTAGCACACCATTTTATGCAAACGCCACCTCTTTTTACCTCGTTAGTTCCTCAGTTACAGCAGAGAAGTGAATGACACAGCACAATCTGCTCTCTATTGCTGGGGCAAGAAAGTTCTGCCTGAGAGCTGAGACACCTGGTTGGGAGTCAAAGGGAGCTCTTCCCAGTTTGTTGAGTTGTTTCCTGTTTCATATCAGATATTTTTTTACCTGAGTTTCCACATCTACTTACTGACTTTGAGAAAGTAATTGAGATACTGGAGCACAAAGCATCACCTCAGAGCTGTATCACCCTCATAGTCTCTGAGTCATGGACCTGTATCGGTTGTGCTGTGAAAATTCCTCTTTCATGCCTAACCCATAACTTGTATCTGGTGACAGCAGCTGGGCCAAAGCTAATCTTATCTCGCTGCAGTATAAAGATCCTTTTGCATGTGCAGATATTACTCAAGTGATTTAACTCCTCTCTGTTTCCTTTTCACAGGAGAAGTTGAAGATGAGCTACTTCATACATACACCAAGGTGTACACCTTTGATGCACTCTTGCTGTCAGTTCGCCTGGCTGTGCTGGTGGCTGTAACCCTGACTGTGCCCATTGTCCTTTTCCCTGTAAGTAACACATCTGCAAAAGCTGAAGTTGGGGTGAGCCCACATACACTGAGTGTATGTACTCAGCACAAACTTATCATTGAAGAAAAGTAAGCCTAAATTTTTATTTAGGAGGGTCTGATTTCTCATATGCAGTTTGACCAGAGCAAGGGCTTTAGGTAGTTAGGGTTGCGAACTTTGAAAGACTGAAATAAATCAGTCTTTAGAAATAAATCAGAAATAAATCAAGAACAACTGCCCTGTCTCTCTCTGGTTCTCGCTGTACTATATTTATCAGAGCAGCAGTGGAAGTACTGAAGGGATATACTGAAACCACTTACGAGATTTCCTAATCCGGACATAGGCACCTGCTACAGCGTCCAAGCTCAAGGCAGACACGTGCAGCTCGGGCACAAGCTGTGCAGGACTGCCAGACCTGGCTGCCAAGGTGGACGGGCAGATGCCCTGTGGATATCTGACCTGCTTGACTCTATGGTCAGGGAAGGAAGCTAACTGCTGAAAACAGAGACAGTGAAGACTCAGCCACATAGTCGGATGTTTGAGCAAAGTTTGGAGCTTCTAGGTGCTGTTTACATGGAAAAATGCAATAGCCACAGTAAGAGGGACAGAAGGACACAGCTAACTGAAGATGATCAGAGGGCTGGAACACCTCTCCTATGTAGGCAGGCTGAGCTAATTGTTAGGAAACAATTATTTACTGTGAGGGTGGTAAGACACTGGAACATGTTGCCCAGGGAAGTCATGGATGCCCCACTCCTGGAAGTGTTCAAGGCCAGGTTAGACAGGGCTTTGAGCAACCTGGTCTTGTAGGAGGCTCATAGCAGTGGGGATGGACCTAGATTATCTTTTAGATCACTTTCAACCCAAACCATTTCATGAATCTATGACTGACCTTCCTCAGGGATCTATCCCTGCCTAAAGAGGACACCTCCAGACTCCTGAATGCACAGAACTGTCCCTTGTGCATTCCCTGAGCTGCTACGCAGGAAGAAGTTGATCCTGGTCACAAAGTTTTGGGAGGCTGGTGTGTCATGTGTATGGCATGTACAAGCCCAGCACCGCGCTGCTGCCAGGCTCCCAGTGCTCTGCGTCACACAGTTGCGTTCCCATCCAGTGAGTGCAGTAACCCTGGGGTCCTGTTGCTCTGCTGTTCTGGATGCAAACACGAGCTGCGTAGGTGCTGTTTCTAGGCTTGTTGACAAATACTTAAGAGCAGTGATCACCATTCAAGTTTGTCTAAAAAAAATATATATATATATAAAGCACCCAGAGCGATCAGTCCATCCACCTTAGAGCACTCCAGTGCTCTGTCTTAAATACTGCATTTAAACCAATGACTAAATGCTTAAATTAATCTTAACTAGCCGATCACTTTTCATGGTAAAACAAGCTAAGGGCTTTGCAAAAGCCTTTGTCTGTCAGATGTAACATTTTGCATTTTTAATTTTCTGTATAATCATTTTTAGATCTGAATAGTGTGCAAAGGCTCAGCAATTACATACCACAGCACTAACTGCTCTGTTACAAGAACTACAGAGCAAATATTATTTGCTTGTAAGCCAACAGCTGATATTTCAAAGCAAAAAACAGAAGTATTTTGTGAGCCTTTCTCAATGTAAAAACATTTTTTGTTCAACTTCTGCATTTCAAGCCTCCTAAGTTAACCATGGTACTTCAGAGCAACACTATCTCCTAGCACCAATGGGATTTGCAAATGTCTTTTCCCTTACTTATCTTTGCTGGTGAAAAAGAGAAAAACTCTCTGTGTTGTGGGAGAAAGTCAGCAAAGCAAAAAGAATCCTCCACAACAGCTTTTAGGATGATAATTTTCAAATGCATTGAAAAAATATGGTTTAATTTTGAGATAAATGTGTGTGTGTGCATATATATTATGGAAACAAAACAACAGCTTGCTTTTTCTCTCACAAAACTAAATGACAGAACTCCTGTGGCATTTTCAGAAGGATCAGATTCAGGAATACAGCAACTCATATTCCACCCATAGACTTTTTTTCAGCTGGTTAGTATTCATAGTAGGGGTTTCTTTAACTGTTATTTTTGCTGATATTAGCATCTTCCAGTTGAGCAGATTTCATCTCCCTGATTTTACACCCTATTTACTTGACTTTCTTCTACACTGCAAATATTTGAGTTTCTACATTAAACTGTGAACCCAGTTCTCAAAAACCTACATGTGAGTGAGATTACCTTAAGCAAATCAAGGACTGAAAACACATTTCTTCAGTAAGAATTTCTCACAGCAAAAGTAACTAGCATAGATCATTCAGAAAAGTGAAAAGCCAAGATAAATTAATTGCTCTTTTATTTTCTCTGATGTTTTTCATCTTACAGATCCGTTCATCTATCAGTGCTTTGCTGTTTCCCAAAAGGCCATTCAGCTGGATAAGACATTTCCTGATTGCAGCAGTAATTCTTGCTTTTAATAACCTGCTGGTAATTTTTGTTCCAACTATTAAAGACATCTTCGGATTTATTGGTAGGTCTCATAAATACTCTGTTGTTTACTCTGTTAATCCTTTCCACAGCATATTTACATTCATGGACTGAATGACATTCTCAGTTTTAGTTTTACAGTGGAGTGATATAAACACATATTAAAGTTAAAAGAGAAATAGAAATTCCCAAACAGCTGACAGATAAAGCTAAGTGCTACCTAACTTGGTTGCTACCTTGCATGAGGAATCCAATAATCCCAGTATAAAGACTGGTAAGGAATTCCCAGTTTGATAAAAATGTTATCTAATTCATGTGGAGGAGAGGGAAATCACCTTTGCTTTTCAAGCACCTATAGCCTGGACAAAATATATTTACTTCCAAACTATGATGTTAGAAAAAGGAGAAAAGTGGTACCTATCTTTTATCATTCACAGTTCTCTCCTTACCCCTTTCTTGTGATCACTTTTGGCCTCTGATCGAAGAGGTCCGTGAAGAGCCTCTGTAGCTGCTTGAGGAGTCAGGAATGCAAATTATCTTGAGAATGACACCTCCATGGGGTTCCTGCCTTTTTTGTATTTTTTACTCTGTGCAGGCAGCCTGTTTCCTCTTCACCTTTTTTTTATACCTGGACCACCGTGCTGGGCTCTGCCAAGAGCAGAGGAACAGGAACTCCAGGCCACAGTTCCTCCACCCTCTTTTTGACACCTGATTTCCACAGTCATCACACCTTGGGAGTGCTGGTTTGTCCTTGCTTTACTAGGTCACACATAGACATCAGTATCACAGTCACACCCATTCAAACAAATCCTCTAGGTAACAAGTGCCTCTTTGGGCTCAAAGCACACAAATAAATGTTTGGACATGTAAAACTGCACGAATGCTGTGTACAGAGAGAGCACTCTGTGCAGCTGGGCTTGGAAGAGCAGCTGTCTCCCCACATGCTGCCTTTTCCAGGTGCACCACGTTGGTTATGTGTCAGACAGCATGGTATTCAGCTCTGCTTTCTTCTCCAGGTGCCTCTTCTGCTACCATGCTGATCTTCATCCTCCCTAGTGCCTTCTACCTGCGGCTTGTTGAAAAAGAGTCCATGAGGTCTCCCCAGAAGATCGGGGTAAGGGAGATGGCAGCAACTGAAAAGGGAAAGAAAGGAGGGTGGATGCTTTTTGCTGGTCACAAATCCTCTGACCTTTGACTTGCAACATCTGTCAGTTGCTCATAAATGTGTGTCTCACTCAAAATACAAGTCAGGCAGTCTGGTTCACCTTAGCATGGAGACTATTGACTTCACAAGTCAATGCCTTTAGTGTCCTACTGTTACTGCTACACAACAATGAGTGTCTAGGTTAAAGTGTGTCTTAAATCACCAGCAAAAAAAAAAGCATTTATTTAGTCCAATGTGAGCTCTAGCTTGCATAGATAACATCAAGACAGTGCATAAGGAGATGTTGGTTCACAGTAGAAGGCCAGCTGTGGATCAAAAGGAAGATTTGAGGTCCATTTCATGAGGGAAGGTGTACAGCAGAGATAGTTAAGTAATAGTGAGTCCCACACTGAGATAGATCCATACACCTGCAGGAAGACAGATATGAAGGTCTGTTGATTATACACAGCAAGTGTTTATACGTCATGCTGGACTGCTGCAACAACACCTTTTATCCTGAACATCAATAGCTATCTGCACATTTAACAGTATCACCAAGGAGATGTCCTTTGAAAATTCAATCAGAAAAGTTATTGATGAAATATACATGCAGGCTCATAATGTAAACAGATGTACATATACATGTATTGCTATATACATATTCACAAAAAAAACATGGAAGTGGAATTTCAACCAATACATACTGCAAGGATAACAGGAAAAGTTTATTATTATAAAATTATTTCTGATGTTGACTTTAGGAGTTGTTTTTATAGATTCTGTGAAAATTTGTTCATGTCGCTGCTCATTCTTCATGCTGCTGTGTGGTAGGCATATCTAGAACTTCACACCCTGCTCTGAAACCACATACAATATTCAGCTTTGTGTTGTGAGGCAGAATATTGATAAGTGTGGACAGGTTATGGTAAAGTAAAGCCCCACTAAAGCAAAAGGTGTCTATAAGCATCTGAATCACTGAAATATATACATAAATGCCTTCAGAGAAGAGAGATGGGTTTACCTGTTTGTCTAATGAGGACGAAAAGTGTTAACTCTGAAGCTTTTTTATATTGGAGACAATGATCCTTCATTGAAAATTGGTCTATTTTTAAAGAAAAAAAAAGTAAATGTTACCTTGTTGTATTTTGTACTATTGTTCATAGAAACAAAGTGTGCTTTTTCAGATCTAGTCTTCTAAAGCTTGGCTTTCTTCAGCTGAAATTCACATAGAACTTTGTTTCGTGTAGCCCCATGTGACACGACTCCAGCTTTAGTGACACAGAATGTCCCAAACTCAGGCTCTGGTTGTTAGATAAATGTGGTTCCAGTAGGATAGTCTGTGAAATACAGTCTGCACAGTCACTTCTCTTATTAACAAAATTTCATTTTCCAATTGCAGGCTCTAATTTTTCTCATAGCTGGCATAATCTTCATGTTTGTGAGTATGACTCTTATTGTAATGGACTGGATTTACAACTCCCCAAGTTCCAGACATCACTAACCTGTGGAGACAATCAAGTGCTTTTTATACCATAAATATTTGTGTTGTGTGTTCTGAAGGACACCTAAACAGGACTGTAACAGCTAGTAACTGCTAGTAACCCAAGGGAGTCTACATCATCCTTTTCACTACGGTTCGTTATTTATGCATTAGGAACCTGAACTTAGCATTTCTGGCCAGGTGAAATGAAATGTGTGGTGGATGCTTTCTGTTTTCAAAACCAAAATAACTGTGTATATAGTCCTCAAAAATAGGTTGGTGTCCCCCTTTTGAAACCTCACCCATCGTGTTAATAATCACAGTTCCTACAGCTCTGGAAAGGCAATGGCTGGCTAGTGCCTTCTTTTCTATCTGAAGCTCATGGGAGTGGCTGTCCAGCTTCAAGAAAAAGTGCAGTTTCTGTAGGGGATCTAAAAGGTGACTGCTCCATAACAACCTGTCTATCAGAAAGACAATGGCTTTGAGAAGACATTGGTCAAAGCTGAGCACTAGATTGGTTGCCCAAATTCATCACCCTTGGCAGGTGATACTGTTGTACAGAATCCAACTCCCTGGCACAGGCTCTGTGCTGGGGCATGTGCTTGGAGAACAGTTAAGCATTCACATTTTGTTGTTAAAGATGCTTGTACCGGAAAGATCAGGCATTTCTGCTGGGGTTCTGTTTGTTTGTTTGTTTTCTTTACTTTTTTAATTCTTGTGTGAGTTTGCATCACTGAACAAGTTGCATCCTCCATAGAAACTTGTCTTCCATTCTTACAGGAATTTAAGGAGACCACGAGGTGTGGCAAAGCACCCAATCCAGTATTGTTCAGTACTTATGTATTTGATAAATGTTCAGTGCAGGAAACTGTAATTTGCTATATATATAAAAATACATGTATTTATGTATATAATTTTTTGTTTTCCTCTAGTTATAAAGTTACCCTGTGGTAAATGATTTTTGAAATTTTTTTTGTATCACTCTGTTTTCATAGCCACACACTTCATATTGTTTTGAAGAAAACATATTGGATTGGTGGGTTTGTAAAAGGTTCATTTTTATTCAGCAGTGTTTAAAATATGCTTTTAGCAAGCCCTAACTGTTACCTGTGTAAAAACACATTCAGATGTTTACTACTTATGTTACAATAAATTGCAAGATGTTTCCTTCTTGGCAATTTTTAATACATGCCTCAAAGTTCTGTATTGCCATTGTACACCACAAATTTGGGTAACTTGCTCAGTTGCTGAACCTTAGCTTGTCTATGCATATGCTGGCATTCAACAACAGACATAATGAAGATATGGAAAGGAAAAGACAGTACTGGTAATCTCGAAGGTATCATGCTGTGCAGCTGTGCAAGACAGAAAAAAAAAAAAAGGAAAAAAAAAAAAAGAGGAAAAAAAACCAACAACAAACAAATTCCATGCTATATGGATGCTTGATTAACCCTTGGCACCCTCCAGGTTGTGGTTTTGTCTGTGCTGTGGGGTAGTCACTACATATGGTCTCAGTACACAGCAGGGGAAAACAGACAGAGGAGTCTCGTTAGCTCCATAACAGAGGGAATGAGTGGGAAGGTGTGACTGTTGGTTTTAACACACTTACACGAACCCAGGCTCATGTAATTGGAGTTTTCATTTTCCAACCTAGAAGCATGTTGAGTATACACCTGTGATCTCAGAAAGCCATAAAGCACACAAACGTTGTCTCTGCTCAGTCCTTAGCTTCTCACAAAATTCTGCGTCTGTGTGTAAATGTGTGTACACCTGCAGGTTAACTGGAAAAGCATATTCAAATATACATTCCTTGCCAAGTGCTGTCTTTCTGAGCAGTGTTTTATGCTCACTTGAGTACTGTTAATACAATGGAACACACTTCCTTGTGAATGCTAAGTCTGGCTTTGTATTTTTTAAATAAAAAGGTGCCAGTAATCTTTCTCTGTATTTTAAGCAGACTAATACAAATAATGTTGCATTATTACTGAAGAGACTTTTAACATGGACTAATGTTAATAGTAACACACCCACACATCTCTCTTCTTGTTCCCCCTACTGAGAGTGACACATATGGAAGACCTGAACTGTAACCACATATTTGCTTCAGAGCAAAAGCACATATAGGGACTGAAAGCTGCATGTGGAGACTTAGGAATTTATGTAGTCCACCTAAAATATACATGACCTCAAGAAAAGTAAGAAAAAAAACTGTGGAACAATAGTATAACCCATTGCCTCCTCAGGGCACAAAATTGTTGGTGTCCAAAATAGAGGCAGGGAGTCTGTAAAATGTCCATTTTTCAAGTTAAAATGTATTGGTCACAGCAATATGCAGCTGTTCCATACACTGGGAGTAAGGGTCGTATTGCACACTAACTTATTAGCACTGCCCTGAATGGTGGATTTTGGTGTGTCTTGTTCATTTTGTAATGTTGACAATAAGCCTTGTGAGAATTTTTTTTGCAAAACCATCCATGGATGTACAATAAATGAATTTTTTCAAAGACCACAGATCTTTTTTCTTCTGTCTTAAGCTAGCAGGAGGAATTTTTTTTTAAAAGCCATCAAATTCTAACTGGTGGCCTTAACACGAGCATTACTAAACCTGCATTCACAGAATCACAGAATCACAGAATTATTAGGGCTGGAAAAGACCTCTGAGATCATCCAGTCCAACCTATGACCTGACACCACCACGTCAGCTAGACCATGGCACTAAGTGCCACATACAGTCTTTTCTTAAAGACCTCCAGGGATGGTGACTCCACCACTTCCCTCGGAAGTCCATTCCAATGTCTCATCACCCTTTCCATGAGGAAGTGCTTCCTAATATCCAACCTAAACCTTCTCTAGTGCAGCTTCAGGCCATGCTAGTTGGCTGGGAGAAGAGCCCGACCCCCACCTGACTACAACCTCCCTTCAGGTAGTTGTAGAGAGTGATAAGGTCCCCCTGAGTCTCCTCGTCTCCAGGCTAAACAACCCCAGCTCCCTCAGCCTCTCCTCATAAGACTTTCTGCCAGTCCCTTCACCAGCCTCGTTGCTGATGGTGCTGCTCATTGTTCCCTTTTAAGAGAGAATTTTGTGTATCCATGTGCCTTCAGATGAGCAAGATGGCAGCCCCTTCATACAATAACCCTTTTGCAGACCCTGTTCTGTATCTACTCATGGAGCTGCATAGATCTAACTGGCACTAAGAGTAGGGTTATCTGAGATAAAGAATACCTCGTTCTTTGGAGCCTGTGGCAACCAAGTATAGTCACTATTAGGAGCGCACACCAGATGGTACCTTTCTGTATAAATATTTCCTATCATTGCAGCTGTAGATTTTCCTGCTGTTACATATTTGTCTGGTGTATCATAGCCCAAAATATACTGGTCTATGTGCCACTCCAGCACCAATGAACTCATGTGAGAACCATGCTCCCAGACCCAGCCAGTCAGTGTTTGCAACCTGCCCACTAAGGAGGGAAGCACAGCAGACCCAGACACCTGCTCAACCCCTGTGATACAAACATCCTCCCGGTTTCCTCCCTTCCTTCTGCTTAGCTGTCCCTAATTCCCTACAGTATCCCCTTAGCTCTGTCTTGATGGCCCTATAGCTATACATTTTTTGTGGCAGGAGGTTGTTTTAAACAATTAAAATTGTGGCAACTGCAGGGGGGGAGTTAAGAAAATGATAAAATACATCTTCAAAAAAAGAAAGTAATGAAAATGTATTTGAAATTTTAGCAGTAATAGAGATGTGTCATTAAATTGACCTGACAAGAATGCCAGATGTTATATAGAAAAAATAATAATAATAATTTTAAAAAGCAGTAATGCATAGATGTTTCAGCTCTGAAAAGAGACAGAATGAGGGACATTCTTTAGAGGGCAAAGTCCTCTCTAGTCCATAAATAATCAAAGATGATGTTAAACAACATCTATCTGAAAGAAGGGCAGCAATCCTAGATAAGCCACAAAGCAGCTGGCTCTGGTGTTAATTTTCAGTAAACCCTGGCATGCTTGGCTAGGTCTCAATGGCTGACATAGTAATTAGAGCTAGTCAGCAGTTACTCACTAAGAGGTCTAGTTGGTGCTATAGGTGGAAATTTTCCATTCATTTTACTTTAGATTTCAATTGAAGTTGTACTGAAAATGTGCTATTGCAACAAAATGCTGGCAAAGCCCAGGCAAACCCAAGTGGAATCCTGCCTGGTTTTCCATTAACCTGGCTGGTGAGTTGCTGGGGGCTCCTGAGGGCTACAGCTCCTGGCCTCCATCAGCCTTGGCAGCCAGGTCCCCAAGGGAGATGACCTGCTGTGGAGTTTGAAACCCAGCCCAGGCAGCCCAGGTGCTTTGGCTGGGGCTTCAGGGCGAGCTCAGGTTGACAGGCTTTCCTCCCATGGAGCTTGACCTCAGTCCTGCCATGGCAATCTTGTCATCTTTCCATGATATATTGTGCTGTGCAGTAGCATCCAAAAAAAACCAACCAAAACAAAAAAAAAAAAACAACAACACCCCCCCAAAAAAAAAAAACACACAAAAAAAAAAAACAGCCACACAAAAAACCCACAACAACCAACTCCCAGATTATGTTTTAAAACAACACTTACCGCAAACATTTATAAGTCTCTACATGGGTGATAAAGACTGTTTTCAGAAGAGCATGGGAGATATGAAGCCAGAAGATATCTCAAGTGACCTCCTATTCCATACCTGAGTTAGATAACAGTCTTAGGTTAGTGTTTTCAGGCAACAACATTTAGTAAAGTCCAGGGAAAAAAAAAAAAAATGCTGTGCTAACTGGTCTCACAACTACTAGAGCCTGCAAAGGGCTCCAGTTTGCAGTTACACAGAAGACAACACTGATACCTCAGTACCCTCTGGATGCTGAGGTGCTGGGGGACATTTGCAGTGCTGCATGGCTGCTGCCTTCATTAGCAAAGGTGACAAGGCAACACTGAAAGGAGTTGGGTCATATGGAGCCAGTTCCTCTGCCCACCTGGTGAGCCAGGTTCTAAACCAAATGCATTTTATAG